CCGCTATGCGGACCAGAAGCGCTTACCTCCGCCAGACTTCAAGGTGGGCGACCGAGTTTTCGTTAAGGCCCAGTTCTTCCGCACGACCAGACCTACCAAGAAGCTTTCGGAACGATACTTTGGCCCTTACGAGATCATTGCCCAAGTTGGAACGGTTTCCTACACTCTCCGCCTCCCCGACTCTCTCCGCGCTGTTCACCCTGTCTTCCACGTCTCAATGCTCGAACCGCATTACACCTCTCAGATTCCGCATCGCCACGAACCGCCTCCGCCTCCAATCGAGGTGGATGGGGAACTAGAATACGAGATTGCGGAGATCCTCGACTCCAAATTGGATCGTCGCCGCAAACATTGCAAGCTCCTCTACGAAGTGCGGTGGCGCGGATACGAGAATACGGACGAGGAACGAAGCTGGCTCCTTGCCACAGAGCTTGAACACACTCAAGAGATCGTTGGAGAGTTCCACAAGAGGTACCCAGACAAGCCTGGTCCTCATTGGTGATCCCCGCAATCCCCCGCATTCCGCAGTTGACTCCGCATTTCTTCTTTCCTTTCTTTGTATCCTTTTATTCTCCAAGTTCCGCTTTTACGCTTCCTCCGTTCTCCGCAATTTTCCGCATCCTGTTTCTTCCGCTTCTTTCTTTTCAAATTCCTGGTTCCATATTACTCCTTTCCTCTCTATGCTTCCTCCGCTCCTCTATGCCTTACCTGTTTGACCTTTTTTCCTGTTCCACATTCCTCTCTTCTTGATGTTCCCACTTACTCCACTTATTCCACTTGCCTCCATTTCCCTCCACTTCACTATGCCTTCCCTTACTCCGCACATTACGCTTCAATTTCTCCCTTGCCTCCGCTTCTCTCTCCTCACTTTCATTTCCTGTCCGCACTTTCTATATTTCCACTTCAAGAGGACAAGAAATTATTTATACTCCTCCGCAAACGCACTGCAGAGTCACAAGCATGCTGATGATGCCGAGTTGCAAAATGCGGACATCAGATTCTGTGCATGGACCGAGTCCTAACACAAGCCTCGAGGGCTCGGCCTTAACAGGGAGGTACTGTTAGGGTCTCGAACATCCACCCACAACCCACCAGCCTTGACCCACACTCCCCGCACAATCTCACATGATCCCGCATGACCCCGCACATCCCCGCACTTCGCCATCACCTCTCCGCATCCCACATTCCCATATCTCTGCAACCCTTCCCTCCGCACTCCCGCATGCTCCGCAGTCGATCCGCATGCTGAGTTTACGGGCGCTAGGCACTCCGCTCCGCATTTATGCAGAGCGCCGCCGGTATGACACGGCCCGCAACTGAGGGCCGGTGCGGACCTTGCGGAGAAACCTCGTAACCGCCCTCTAGGCGCCCAGACTCTGCATGTGATCCTTTATACTTCTTTATGACTTCATTCTCTGCTTTACTATTGTTCTTTAGAATCATCTTACTCATCCTCTTCGCATTCCGCGGTATTCCGCATTTCTTATGACTCAGTTTTATCTCTTGTCCCAGACTTGTCCCAGAGTATATCCAGAGTGTCTACAGATATATAAGCTAGCTAGATTTCTGTAGTAGATACTCATCCGGAATCTCGATTCAGACTTATACAGAACTTCCCCTCTGTCCAGTCTTGAGCCTTTCGGCTTGCTAGAGCTTTCCGCATACTCCGCACCTCCGTACAGTGTTCCTGATTCCGCTCCGCAAGGCTCTCTCCTCTCTCTCCTCGTCTTCCGCCGTAAGGCGCGTCTCTCTCTCCCTATCCTCCCCTCTCCTTTCGGGTTGGACCATATACCACCAGCGTGGGCACAACGCAATATGTTGAGGCCAAGGTCCCTTCGACTCCGCAGTTCCGTAGAGTCTAACACTTGGATCATCTGGTGAAAACATGGTATATCTGCCATATCTCCAGAGACACTGGGTCATTTCTCAACCAGTCTTTTGGGTTCAGTAGCTATTGATCAAGGCTTTGAATCTGTATATTTTGTATGGGACAATGAACATAATGAAATGGGTGAAAATGCGAAAAACATTGAAATTTACTGGGTATATGGAGAAGTTAATGGTGAGTCTTGGAGAGGTTGCATCTTATTCCAAGCTGATGAAACAGGTTTATACAACTGTATAGAGAGTCTTCTGGGCTTTATATTATGTAGTTAAAGAGCTAATGGTGTTTTCTCAACTTCATCCTATTGGTGCGCATTTTTGCATGTTTTTGTAATTCTTGGTGGGGTAAAGTCTATTTATCAAGGAAAAAGTGCATTAGTATATGTGTGGACATATTTCTAGATTATTTCAATGAAGATTCCAAGAAGAAAGGTGAAGAAATGAGGAAGATATATCCATATTCTCCACCAAAAATGTGACATAATAGTGTGAATGCTTGAAAAGGTCGAATTTTGAATATCTATTCATCATTGGGTATATACAAATATAATATATACCTGTAGCCAATGATCGTTCACACTTGAATCAAAAAGAATTTACTCAAAAAAGCGAAGAAATGAGTGAGATATGGATGAAATACTGGTGGAGGAGAAGGATGACATCACACTAATTAAGATAAGATTGGCTTTCTGGTGATGGAAGTCAATCAATGATATCAATGATTGACATCATCGGGCACCATGATGTCACAATAATCAGGAACAGGAACAAATGATGTCATACTCATTGTCAATCAGAATTTGATTTGATCATCTATGTTTATTGTTTCCAGAAAATGGTACTATTTTGGAGCTTCCAGGTTGGCTTCCCATCAATTTTGGAGTGCATCACATTTGATGGCTGGAATGGAACTGGAAGTGGATTGGTGGTGGAATTTCCTGGATTTTTTTTGGGATGGGGAGAGGCTGGAAGCTTCCTGGGAAGGGGGGTCACATGACCCTTGGAAGCGAAGAAATTAATATGATCTTCATGATAGGCTTCCATAGGTGACTGAAGTGACTTTACAGGTGTATTTGGAGCTGTGTATCTTTGTTCTTTTACTCCCAACCTCATCTGAGCTGCATTCAAGGAAACTGGTGTACACCCCTATGACCCAACCATCATCAAGATAGAGCAGATGAAGCCCAGCGAGACGACATCCCTACAGGCCAGTTTTACCCTCCCACAACCTTCTCCAGTCCGCGCAATCATAAAGACATTCTGAAAGAAGCCTCCCACCACTTTCAACATTGATCCTGATCACCTTTTTGCCCCACCTCATACTCCTGTGGCTTCGACATCTCAACGGCAGTTGACACCAATCACAGCACCCTCCACTTCCTCAAGACAGTGTCGTGATGAATGGGAAAACCTTGACTTTACTCCGAGTAAGCGAATGCAGCTCATGGCAGGCAATCTTACCCAAACGAGTGCCTCGTACCTGGCCTCCAAAACCCCAATCACCTCCTCTGATCTCCCTTTCAACCCTGTATTCAAAGCTCCCCCTCCCCTACCCGAGCCCAACTGGTCCCTAATCCATGCGCCAACAGAGGGTCATCAGACTCGAGCACAAATGGTGACCAAGATAACAGAACTCATGCAAAGTCTTCAGCATGCAGAGCAACATCTCAAGGCCTGAAACATGATAATTGAGGGTGCACATGCTCAGCTTGTTGTCCAAGACATGCACCTTCATGCACAGAACAAGGTCATTGAAGCATGAGAGAAGAAGAAGAAGGACGACTGCACCCTTTTGTTAGATTGTGAATATGTCACTCTGTTGACTTCACTCTCTGATCATGGTCAGGGTCCCTGAACATGTGGCATAAGCCCAACCTGTGGCATAGCCCAAGCGTGGCATAAGCCCTTCACACCCATCCTAGGAGGTTATACTTCCTCCTACTCCTGCTTTGAACAAGACCATATAGCTCAGTGGTTAGAGCATCCCTCATGTGTAGAGGAGGTCTCTAGTTCAAATCCGGATGTGGTCACTTTTCCCTTTTAACACCTTTTGTTTCCTCAAGGCCATGGGAGGTGTCTAACCGGCGACGAATTCACAAGAGCCATGGTGGCTCAGGCAGCGAGTAGGGCACAAGAAGCAGAGAATAAGCGACGTAAGGCAGAGGCGAGGGCGGGCAAGCGCTCGAAGCTGGAATTAGTGAACACTTGATGGAAGGAGGAGACCGAGGAATGGGAGCATCAAAAAGCTGAGCATGCTAAAGAATGCTCACACTTGTTGGCCAACAGGTGCAGGAAGGGTGACCTTCCCAAGGTGCCAAGGAGGCGGTTGAAGAAGGATATTGTTGCTGAAGTTGAACGCGAGCTGGATGGCAAGGAATCAGAGCAGGACGACCCTCTCAATGAGGGGGATGAGGATTTGTGATTAAACAAAAATACAACGGCGATTGGTTGGTGACATGCTTGTCACACTTGTCACACACATGTCAAACTGTATCAAATGACCTGAATTCAATCTTTGGGACACCTGCTCAAATTCAGCACATTCCACCAGGCTCTCCTGCAACCTCAATAACATATAGCCATAGAATGCTTTATTTGATGTTCTAGCATACTAGAACATACAACAATTCTCACATGAAAACATGAGAGTGTGACCTATGTCGCAAAACCTGAGGGCGCCTTATTAGGTAACTTGCCTAATTAGGCTCAGACGGCGCATTGTGATGTACCTGGCAAGGCCGGGATCCGGCTGATATGGAGGGTACGGCCTGATAAGGTAGCACCACTGTCTTTCCACTCTAGGCCGCGTTTGTAATGCCACCTATCAATAATTATTCGGCAAGGGAGGCTCACAAGGTGTTGGGTGATGATAATCAGTCTGTACCCGCGGTTGTAATCCCAAATTGGGCCCATTGTCAGTGGGAACCCGGTGATCATCAGATGGCCGCCTTGTTGGTAAGGTTCGCCTTGTCACTTGGTGGCTGTGGGCAACTTGATCCCTCCCATTCCCTCCTCTCCATGACCAAAGAAAGCCACCAACGGCAGCGAGCTGCTGCTGGAAAGGGGAAGTGCCCCTACTGTAACGATGAGTTCTCGTTGCAAGGCTCGGTCTTCACATGGGTGCCTGCAAGTCGAAGCAGGATATTGACCCATCTGTTCTATCCGAGATGGGCACCTTGAAGGGAGGCAGCTCACAGAAAGCTCGTGGTATTCACATCCCTAAAAAACTCCTTGACCCACTTGTTCATGGCTCCAAGCAAGGTAAGAGCTCCAACTCACCCTTTGGTATGGTAATTGACCCCTTTGTTCTATATTCTTAGCCCGTCGAACAAAAACCTCTCAACCTTCCGCAAAACACAACCCTTTTGGTAGGTCGTCCCCTGCTCCCTGGACCAGACGAACCCGCATTCACCTCCAGGTATCACAAGGACGACCAACAGCAGCTATGCAATCCAGGAGGCGGAGGGATTGAATACAAGGAAGGAAGCTGCGGGTTTGGACATGGGTGGATGTGCATCGGGTAGGTCGAGCAGAATCCAAAGGTCCCTCCCTTACTGACCAATCTTGAGTAGCTTCTGACTATCATGGTGTTACGCCTGAGGGTCGTTTGACCCTTCAAAAATCACGAATAGTCCTCCGCCAGACTAGTTCTAATTGTCTGAGCGATCATCTCGATAAATGACTGATAAGCCGCTAGGCACCGTGTTCTTCATAACCGGCGGTCATTTATTCTGTCATATGAGTTGAGACCGAGCCCAGAGTCGTCAACTAAGTCGAACTCCAAGATCGAGTCAGAGAGAAGTTGAACGTAGTATATACTTGATACCGTATACCGGCAGATTAAGGATATACACTGGGCTTACTCGAAGATCGAACTACGGTAGTACAGATTTTGCACGAAGTCCTTACCGCCGGGAGAGGTTACTATCCATGGGAGTGCAACGACCTACTCTCGTCGACTAAGAGTTTAGTAACAGAATTGAGGAGCCGAAGTCATTTGGTATAGACACCCATGTCTACCAGAAAGGAAGGCACTACGAAACGCCGGCGGTCGATTTAGAAAGATCGTCATCAGTCTCGAGCCTTACAACAAGATTGGAGATCAAGTGAAGGGAGCGATAAGATAGCAGATAAGGTAACCAGAACGACGGAACCAGGAACGGTTCACACAGACAAGTCCCGGTTCCGCCGGGCAGACTTCCTCAGTGGGTACAGATGAAAGGGGGTACTAGAGATCCCATGACCCTTCGATGAAGGAAGGTCACACAGAAAGAGGGGACAGAATGATGAGTCCACACGCTGCCCTCTGGCGGAGATAACAAAAGGGGATACCGTTTGGTTCCGCGGAAGCATATTCACGGAGGAACCTTGGGGTTTACGGAACACTCAAAATTCACGCGCTTCAACAGCGCATCAATAGACGCCCCCCTGTGCATAGTCGGCATGACACTGCTGGTACTTCTTTTGTCGCATTTCCTTCCTCTTTTGTCTCTCTGTTTCTTTGATATCTCCGCTCAGTCTCTGTATTTCTTTCGTTTGTATCACGCATATATTCGTCATCTATTTTATAGTCTTTGCTAGTCTTTGTCTTAAAACTCGTAGTCAAACATTGTGTACCATATAAATAGGCCCGTCGGACAGAAAAATCAGTAGACACCCCTTTGACTCGATTATATATCTTGTCCTGATCGACGTGGTCGTTCAGTAAGAAAAGAGGCAATCTCAGAGTTTTGAGTTAAGCGAGTCAAGTCGAGTTTCGAGTTTACAAGTTAATACACAAGTTCGAGTTTAAAACGAGTCAACAAGTGATCCCGCTGGGACGAGTTATCTGTATTTCGAGTGAATTCGAGTTTCGAGTCTAAGTCGCGTTAAAACCGAGTTGAGTGCCGAGTCGCGTGTCTCCCTTGTGTGTAGAGCACAACAAAATTATAAAAACTTGGTTTCATAAAGTCAAGAGCCTTTACAAAGCCCTAAAAAACCAAAAACCCGTTCTATACGAGTCTGAGAGTCTTCTCCTCGTTAGCTAAGTCTACTAGAACAACAACCCCGTCGAACTTGCGTGCCAACATACAGTTAGTACATAAAGGTCTTATAGATTCGACCGCCGGTCTTCATCTTCGTGTCACTTGTCTCACAACAAGTTCCACTTGATTCAGGACCGCTGGTTGTTTTCTTGCTCTTCTTTGTGCTTTCTGTGCTAGCCAGCACATCAACGGACACAGTTCATTAACGAACTGTGGACAGGGGATGTGTGGTGGAATGTACAGGTTAGGCTTGGTTCAATAATTATCTTCCTTCCCACCAGGTTGATAGGTCAATATAGAGCAAACTTCCTGAAGGGGCACTACCGTTCTGTATCATCCTCTATGCTGATAAGACCAAACTGTCCAGTATTGGTACCCAGAAAGGCTACCCTGTGTACACTCAATGCCCCAACCTACCAGCAGAGCTCAGAAATGGAGTGGGACTATGGTTGGTCTTTTACCAATTGTAAGTCTCAACAGCCCCCTTTCCGTACTGATGAGATTCATGGTATTTCTGGCAGGTAAAAGAAGATGCCGATAAATCGGGAAAGAAGATGTTTGTCGACTTCAAGTGTGTGGTCTGGCATACTGCCTTTGGTGTTCTACTCAAACTTCTGAAGGAGTACGCGCCCACGGGAGTTAGCATATTGTGTGGCGATGACATAGTCCGCCTCCTCATTCTGATAATTCTCATTCTATCAGCTGATCATGAAGAGCAGTAAGTTGTCTTGTTGTATTTCCCAACTGGTTGCAAACTTAGACTCTTCAATTGCAGATGTGTGATGGCAGCAGTTCGGGGATTTTGCAGCAGTTTCCCATGTCCTGTATGCCTTGTCCCACAAGATTGGCAGTATATGATGACCAAGAGGTATTCACTCCAAACGGTCGAGGAAATGCATGCAGAGTTTTTAGCTGCCTCTGCGGGCAATCACCAATCACGAGAGGACAATCTGAAGGCTATCGGTCTCCAAGGTATGTTGCTGGATCCTCCATCTTGTTATGTCGACTGACCCTAGGCAATGACAATGTTAGAATGTATTCTGGGACATCAAGCACACAGATATTTATGCTGGCCCTTTCATTCGACCGTCTACATGCCTACAATGGAGGCTTGTTCAGTGACCATCTCCTGGAAGAATTCCTGAAAATCCTAGATAGGAGTGAGCATAAGCATGGTGCATTGTTTGAGAAACAGTACATATACTCTGTTTTGCTGATCATACCTCCTAAGATCAACATTGAACTCGCACACTCAAGATTGGCCAACTTTCCGTGCTGGTGCGATCTAAATCATTTCAACAAGGTTGCGAGGTTCCGAGAGTTTACAGACGGGCGAAAGTATGAAGATCTCTCAAGGGTGAGTTGATCGACGCCTACAAGCTTTGTGATACTAAAACCAGATCGCAGGTCATTATCTTTGCATCACAAAATATCCTTCCTGTTGCTGACAGCAAATGCGGCTACCAACTCCTACGTCTCATGCACAGCTTTTGGAACTCGACATGTACGCGTTGCTGCACTGCCACACTGAGACCACTTTAGAGATGGGTCGACAGGAGCTGGTTACCTGGGATAAGGAACGCCAGGTCAGTGTAGCCCCTCTTAGACCTCACAAACACTTACACTCGACATTGTGCTCATAGGAATATGAGAAGGTTTCGGAGAAGCGTTGGAACTTTCCCAAAGCCCACTCACATATTCATCTATTTGATGATATACTGATGAAGGGCATGGCATCACTCGCAACATGATCACAAAGTTCTCAGAGGCAATGCACCATTGGCTCAAGGAATATTATGGGAGGATCAACTTTAAGAATGTTGACGGCCAGGTATAGTGTTTTGCTCAACCAATCTCAGTATATGAACTCTTTCTGATGTTACTGCATCTCTATAGATTTCTCAGCTACATGCATGGAGTCTTGTTGCACTGCTCATACGAGAGGCTATTGCCCGGGACAAAGCTGCTCGATTAGATGAAGAAGAGGCAAAGAAGGCGGAAGAGGAGCTGGGTGAGGATGTGACAGCAGGTACACAAATCCAGCCTGACTGAAATCTATCGTCTGTCCGTGGCTGAGAACACACTGTGACACTTCATAGTCGGCCATGTCACCTTAGAGGGGCCAGAGGTTCAGCACATTATCGCAGGATCATCTATCAAGAACATCACATTGTCAGACGTTGTAATGCACATCCCTAAAGATTACACGTCCACATTTAATGACTTGCGGAAGAAAATCTCCACAAGGCTAGCAACGGAATTGGGGCGCCCAGTCAATCTACATGGCGATCATAAAGTATGTCTTAGTTCATGGGTAGAATTTTTTGGAGCTAAAGGGATAACTAGTGAAGGACACGGGTAACCCGCGGGTAAATTTACCCCTACCCGTACCCGTACCCGAGCTTACCCGTACCCGCAACCCGACGGGTATTCTGCACAAAACGAGCCCAAGAACGTCCAAAACGGACCAAAAATGAGCGAGATATACTCAATTTACTTAAATCAAGCGTAACCCGCCCATTTTATGGCCGTTTTGGACGTTTTTGGGCTCGTTTTGAAGGGCGCGGGTATGGCAACCCTTACCCGTACCCGCACCCGCGCCTACCCGTACCCGTAACCTGCCGGGTATCGAAAACCCTTGTCCATCACTAGGGATAACCACCAGGTAACACTCTACTGGTACATCAAGGTCAACTATACCTCCTTTGAAGATTCAACTGTCACCACAGATTTTCTACGCATGAACAAAGAGTACCATGGTCAAGAGCAGTATGACAACACCTTGCTGAGCATCTACAATAGTGGATTGGTGTTTGTCCAACTTCTGGGAGTTATTGGAGTGGCGTTGGATGGTATCGAGCATCTGGTTGCACTTGCCATCCCCTATGATCAGCCATTGACTGGAACAGACCCTTCAATAAGGCATCAAGACCACGATCTGAGATTGCATCAATTCCGAAAACGAAAACGGTCAGACTCAGTGGTTGTTTTAGCAAGCACTATTGTTCGCGGAGCCTTACTCGTAGAAGACCACCTGGAGGAGATCGGGGACAAGTTACCTGCTCATTGACATTGTAGATACAGACATGTGGCTTCAGGCAAAGAAGACCTCATCCTTATTTAGAACAAAAGCGAGGCCATAATTTAATAAATAGAACTTGTTAATTAATCCCAACTGTTCATGCTGGTCGACACATTTATCACCCAATGAAAGTTCAGATGTTTGAGAGGATTCAGACGAGTGGTATTTCAGGGTTTAGGTAATTTGGACAGGAGGAAGATATTTAATGAAGGTCCAAGGATTCAGAGAGTCGTCAACAGTGGGGGCAAGCATGAAGCACAAATTTGAAAAAGCTGAGAGCAATGAGAAACGAAAGCAGGACAACACAAAAGCACGAAAGCAAGAGGACATGTATTCCGATGTTGAAAGAAACCAGGACTTTGGCTGGCACTAAGCTGGGGTACTAGGAGCAGGACATCAGCACTAATACTACATGTAAGAGTTGTGAGGGGAACACACAGGTGAATAGGACCATTCAAGTCAATACACTTGAATATAACATTTTCAATCTGCGCTGCCAACCCGCCATGATCGCTGACCTCTCTCTCAAACTGCTCGAGGAAGTCCAGGAAGGGGATTGTGATGTTGGTACTCGCTTCGTTATCAGCGGGGTGTGCAATTGAAGAGAATGTAGTTGGGGAGATAGGGGCCCACTCCACGACAGGTCGAAGGTGTTGAACAAGGTTATCCATGGTCCCATACTTGGCTAACGCAGCCTTGACAATGTGTCCCCTTGTATCTGTGGAGGCTGAGTACAATTGCTTGGATGTCTTTGACATTGCGTAGGAAGTTGGCAACACATTTTTCAGTGGGGAGGGGATTGTCTTGGGCCTCAGCTTCGATTGAGAGTCAAAGACAATAATTGACGTGCCCATCCTTGGCCTTGAAGGTGCGCTCGACAGCGTGCGCAACGGGGATGACTGGCACTACTGCCTTCGCTAGATGAAGGAGTGTTTTACTATACAGAAGCTCCACCCAGGTCGTGTCGGAAATGGGGATGGGGCTATTGAGTTGGATGACCATGACGGCAGGTGAAGAGGAAGATGGGGTCAGGTAGGAACAAGGAGGGAGTAGAAATCGAACGGTGACAAGGTATTAATACACCACAAGGCTGGGGTGGGGGCCTGCAAAGATAACAGTAACAAATACTTTTGATGGGAATGGTTAGTCCAAACTGGCGTTCTATTGTCATCACATCGCTCACCAAGTTCAGCATTTAATCTTCCTCCTAGCAGTACAAATGATAGTTTTCACCACTGTCATCTGGGAAGTTTTGTTTGGACGTATTGAGTGCCAGACCATTTGGCAGCCATTGAACATCTAGTCGAGATCTTTTTCCCAAGCCAGATTCAGAGCGTCACCTCGAAGCAATCTTGTCCATTTATATCGATACACGCGCTCCCACTACACTTGCCTCAAAAACCTCCTTTGTCCCCAACCGCCATAATTGATTCCTTGACGCCCTGACGCCGCTGCACACAGTGCTCACCACATAAATGGCACCTGTGCCTCCCTCGGGTTCCCAACCACAACCACCGCCAACCCAGAACGCAACAAGGGGAGACAGGTGTAACAGTACATCCTCTGGCGAAGAGGTGGGTTCCCTGATCCATTGTGATGTTTCTTTGTTGTAACTAACACCTTTGTACCGCAGAACATGCAGATGATGAATCAATCGATCCCTCCGCCTGCTAGTATGGAACTAGAGTCCCTTTCGGGTGATGGAACACATTATCAAGCCCTTGTATACCTCAAGTCACAAGCACCCTTTGATAATTGGCTACAACACCACTCCGACTTCGCGTCCGGTGGTGTGCAGGTCCTCATCCGACCCGACTTCACGTCCGTTGGAGTGGTGCTTTGACTCTCTCAAAACGCTGGAGGTGAGCTACCTCAGGCCCTAAAGGCAATTCGGTTTTGCTTCGGTTCTCATTGATTATTACAGATAGATAAAAATAGATTATACCAGCCCTGGATATGCACAAATTCTTTTTAGACCAACAATTCCTGGCCAGCTCGAACCTCCCTACGCCCGACAACTTCAAGCATGAACTCCCCACACCAGGAACCCAGGTCTCACCTCATGTCAGAACTCCCAACCCCTGGACGCCATCTCAATCTCGTCGCAGCCATTTTGAACACTAGTCAAGCGCAAACATGCAGTCTGCCAATGGTTGATTCGCTTGGCCTGCCGAGGGTTCCTCCACCTGTGCTTTGGTGTTTGCCGTTGATCCCTGTTTGTACAGGGCAGTACCTGCTTAGCGGTCATGCAGTTTTGGGCTGGTCCTAGATCCTCCACCAAGACTGGCAAACTTGTCATCTGGAATGACACTGGCACTGGTGAGTGACACGATAGCTGTATAGGGGTTGTTGTAATCTGAATGCTGGTTGTAGTATACCCCAAAGACCGTCATCTAAATCGCAATAGCGGGGATGAATGTTTGTGAGTATGGAAGCTTCCCTTATCAGAATTGGACCAATAACCATTACCTTTTCAGATTCAGACATAATATCTGGTATCAAGTGTATGGTGTCGGGCTTTGATGGAGGCAAATGAGAGCAGGGCATGTGCGTCAGTTGCAAGGTCGGTGCAGGTTAAGTTGGGTGGTGGCAGCCGCATTCAAACTTCGATCGCAATTCCACTTTAGGAACACCACAATCTGAATCATGTCATCAGTATTTGCCAACTCCTGTTTGCAAAAACGAAATCTGCACTGTTGACATACATCATAGTCTGCCGGTCCAGTCTGTTCCATTTTGTCTCAGTCTGCCACCACCTTTTAGGCGGTCCTTCAAGTCTCCCTGTCGTGTTCAATGTTGCTCACCCGTAGCAAGCTCGCTACCAATCACCTGCCATGTCTTTGCCATTGGAATACCGAGAAATTGACCTCAATTTGCACCAGCAAGATGGAATTAGCCCCGATTCACGACTGCCCCCAATTTACGAGGCTTTCAATCACCCACTACACCCTATGACCAATCCAGATCATACTTTCTTCGTTTGATTTCGCCTGACACCTGTGGTGATGGAGGAGTGGATGAGGTTCGAGAAGGATTTGGCAATTCCGGAAGGCTGTAGTGAGGTCCTCTGTCTTTGAGGTATGTTTCTCCCATTTTCAAATACACAATCTAAGCTGACACCATTTCAGGATTATTGGAGTTCGTTGCTGGGGATTATCTCTTTATCCGCGATGAAATGGGCACGAACGAACCTATGGACGACGTAGTGGCAGCTTGGGTTGTCGGGAAGTAAGTTGAGGTCTTGTCTCCGGCATTTGACCATAGGCCAATCACAGTTTTTTGCTAACGAATCTCTAAATTCTAGGGAACGCCAGGCCACCACCACTTGTAATAAGCTGTATGAAGCTGCGACACTCGCGTTAGGTCCAAGGGCTCCCCACTCCTGCACCCGCCTCCGCTTACACAGCATGTCCAATCCGCTCACCTCTTCACACCACTTGGGAATTGGAGGGCACATCTGATCCTCAGCGCTCAGAACAGATGCCTCCTAACTCCCAATCAACTCTCCTTATTCCCCCTCACCCTAATACCACCGGCACTCTCGATCTCACAATGAACAACGAAACCCTTATCCAACTGCTGCAGGAGCAGCAACACACCACTCAATGCATCCAGCAGGCCCTTGACAAGCTCACCAACAAGACCGCTTCTACGTGAAGCCCCATCAAGGAACCCAAACTGTTCAAAGGGCACCCAGCTGATACCCATCGTTTCCTGCAGTACTTTTCCAACTGGGCCTCTGCCAACCCCGAGTTGAAGGGAGATGGCAAGAGGTGGATCTCGGCAGCACTTTCCTATTTCCAGGGAAACACCGCTTCTTGGGCAGTCCGGTATCTTGATCAGACTTGCCAAGCATGAAGCTACCACCACTTTCGGTAAAAGTTTCCGAATCCTAGGAAGGATCGTACTTGTTTCACCGTTGTGGGGGTGGGCCATTCAGCCATCCCCTTGACCTTTTCTGGGTCCATCATGATCTTGTCGTGTTCTATGATCATGCCAAGGTATTCAATTCGTGTCTGGGTGAATTGACACTTTTCGGCTTTGAGGAATAGGTCGTTGTCCCTGAGTTTCTTGAGAACGATTTTAGTCATGTGTTCCGATTCTTCGATGGTATCTGCAGGGATCAATATATCATCCATGTAGATGATCACAAGCCTCCCATCAATTTCAACGATGAAGATGTGATCCATCATCCTTTGGAACGTTGCGGGTGAGTTACAGAGTCCGAAGAACATGACTAGTGGTTCGAAGAGCCCTTTCTTGGTTTTGAATGCAGCTTTCCATTCATCTCCCGCTTTGATGTGCACATTGTTGTATCCCTATTATCGTTTTCCCTTCACCCGGTCCATGATGTCGGATATTAGAGGTAACGGGTAAGCGTCTTTCACTGTCCATTCATTGAGATATCTGTAGTCTTGGCATGGGCGTTTCTTTCCCATCTTTCTTTGGCACGAAGAACATGGGTGATGCCATTGGTGATTTTGAGTGACGGATATACCCTTTTGCTAGGTTTTCATCAATGAATTTAGTGAGTTCTTCCTCTTCGGTGGGCGTGAGATTGTAGATGGGGAATGATCTGGGTTTGAAGCCTTCCTTGAGGTTGATTGCGTGATCCCACTCCTTCCTTTCCAGGAATCAGTTTGATGCTTTTTCGGAAAAGACACTCAACAATTCATGAAAAGCATGGGGAATTTTGAGTTTGAGATCCTCTTCAAGAGGTGGTTCATAGTCAGTGTCTTTTTCCTCGGTGCTGGTTACGTTGAGCCACTTCTCGTTGATTTCCTTTGTGGCTTTTCCATCGATGAAAGCGAGGAGAAGGTCTTGGTTGTCTTGTTCCATGGTCGGAGATATAGTGTTCCTCCATTTGACCTCTCCTCGTTTCCAATTGATATCGGGGTTCTCGTTCTGTAACCAAGGCATCCCGAAGATAAAGTCCCATTTTCCTAATCCTGTGACATAGATAGTGTATTTTTGTAGTCGTCCATTGATGTTGATGGTGGGTTCAACCGTCTGTGAGATGGTTCCTTGTTTGTTTGCAGTTCCATCTATAGGTCATCTGCTCTGCTGTCAATTAGCACCGTTGTGTCGATGCCACTATCGGGTATTTCAATTGGTAAGATGATTGATCGTTTGTTTCGGGTGGTGATCGTCGCTGTTCCAATCGACAATTCAGGGACGATCTCCATCAACCTTAAGATGTCCCCTATGAAAAATCCTCCTCGGATCCTTCGCCCTTTGTTGTGGCTCGAATGTTTGAGCTTCCTGAGTCAGGGTGTTTGGGGCAAGCTCGTGTTGTGTGTCCTAGCTGTCGACAGATTCCGCATTTGGCTTTTGGACAGGCTCGCACCGGATGTCCCTTTTCTTTGCAGATGAAGCATTTCCCATGTGTGCCGGATGATTGCTTGGTTTGGATGGCATCAACATCCATGGCATCAGGGTCTTTCTCCTCTCGTTTTGCTGTTTGTGGGGCGTCTCTGTAGACCACCTTGACCTTCTGTTGTGGGTCATTACGATATTCCCGTTCAGTTCGCCACTCTCTATCCACTTCCATGGCGGCATCCTTCTATTCTTGGAGAGTGGGTGGAACTTTCTTTTGTTCCGCAGGCCTGGCAGTGAATTGGGTGGCGACTCTTAGTCGGAGTTCAGGATTTAACCCACCCTTGTATTGATCCAGGGCCCATTCATCGCCGTATCCGGCGGCTTCCGGTGGCTTCTGCGTAGCTGTTGAACATTCCTGTGTACTAATCACAAGTGTTCTTTCCCATGTGAAGTTGCTTGAGTTGCTTCTTTGCAGTTTCCTTGTTTGGGAGTAGGCAGAAGTATTTTCGGAATTTGATTGATGAAGTCATCCCCATGATTGGTAGTACCCTTCCGGATCTGTGAAGCTTGGGTCCGTCTTTCTGGGCTTCCTTCGCCTCGAGCCACTTTCGGGTTTTGTCTTTCTCTGTTTCGTTCACTAGTGCGACAATGTATCGTATTCTTGCAGTGGCTTCATACTCATTTTTGCTATCCAGGTATGTTTCCACCGCTTCGGATGAAGGTTTCGACATCTTCTGCTTTTCCAGAGAATTTGGGCGGTTTGGGAATATCCAACTTCGGTTTGGATTCTTCCCTTGTTTTTCAGGCTTTTTCCAGAGTAAGGAAGTCGTCGTACTTCTTTAGCATCTCTTCTAAGCCAGTTGCCATTTTTGTGGTGCCATCATTGATTCCTTCAACATGAGGTGCGGTTTTCATGAGGGTTTCGCTGATTGCGATAATGGCTTTATTGGCTAGTCCCCAGATCTGGTATAGGATTGCTCCTACTCCTATCAGGAAGACTATGGTTTATAGCGGGCCTTGGAGGTTTGAGATTTTCTGTTATGGACTATATGTGATACAAGCACGTGTCGTCCAGTACTCAGCGACTTTGTGGTCGATGAATCAACTTGTGACTACGTCAAGGGTTCTTCGCCTATAGCTTTGTGAACCTTGGGCTAGACTTTGAGCGATAATAATGGGTGTTTGTATTTGCACTGAGCCTGGTAATAGATTTGTAGAACAATTAAGAACGAAGTAAGGAAACTAACTAAGAGAACTAGAGAGTTTATATACTAGGAGACATGTGGTAACCATGAGGCATAGTCCTCATGGTTAACATGCGTATTCTGCGGAATGTATGTAAGTTTCGTTGTGTTTTTAATAAGTATCAGTCAGCCATCAACAATGCGCAGTAAATATGAGTAAGACGACGAGTTGAAATGAAAAACATAAGGTAAGAGTGAGGCGAGTATAGTAATATGGTATAGTAAGCATATATGTTTCGAAGAAGGGATCCCTGATGAGGATGCTCAACCACCTCGAAAGGAACTGCCATCGGGAGATGCCATCATCGAACAAATCGATGCCAACTCAGACTCCCCTGCTCCCACCGCCTCTGATGACATTCCTCAACCCACTCCCGATCTCGACGCAAGCGAGCCGCCCCTCTGCCGCATTCGCGCTAACCGAGTGACCTGGCAGTGGGTTCGCAAAGGATTGATCGAGGATACAGGAGACGAACTTTGGTGCACCGCTGGTTTCACGTACTCCCAACAGATTGTTGAGAAGGCCAAGCCCCAGAAGTCGTTTGAAGAGATGGTTCCTCCCCACTATCGACATGTGTCCGTCTTCTCTGAATCTGAATCACATCGCCTCCCTGAACACAAGCCTTGGGATCACGCAATCAACCTCATTGCTGGACCAGCCACCATGCACACCAAAGTCTATCCCATGTCCCAGAATGAGCAAGAAGAGCTGAACCAGTTCCTTGAAGAGAATCTTAAGAAAGGCTACATTCGACCGTCCAAATCGCCCCTTGCTTCCCCGGTCTTCTTTGTCAAGAAGAAGGATAAACTCTGCTTTGTCCAGGACTACCGGAAGCTCAATGAGATCACGGTGAAGAACCGATACCTCCTCCCCCTCGTCTCCGACATTGTTAACTGACTCCGCAGCGCAAAGTATTTCACCAAGTTCGACGTTCGCTGGAGTTATCAAAGGAGAGGAATGGAAGGCCATGTTTGCCACCAACCAAGGGCTCTTCGAACCAACTCCCCGGCAACGTTTCAGCTCATGAACTCAATATTCTCCAACCTCATCGCTTCAGAAAAGGTTGCAGTTTACTTGGACGACATTCCCATCTTCACAGCAACAGTCGAAGAACACCGACAGGTCGTGCATGAACCGTTCGAGATCGTCACTGATCACTCCAACCTTGAATACTGGCGCACAACACAAGACCTCAGTCGACGACAGGCCCGATGGTCCCTCTACCTCCCATTTCAACTTCACACTCACCTATCGCCCCGGAAAGGCCAACACCCAAGCTGATGCCCTGTCACACCTCAACACTCATCAGGTTTCAGATGCAGAGGATAACAAGAAACAGGTCGTCCTCAAGCTGGAACTGTTCACCAAACTTGCAGCTGCTAGGTAGTCTGCTCTGTTCCTCAGCTTGACCTCTCTGTCAATACACTGGCATAGCCTTCTGGTTCACCAAGTCGCTCATTGCTCTCACTTCCTTTCTCGCTCTCCGCTCCCTGCCGCTCTTGCTCTGGTTGGTTTGGTTTGGTTTAGTGTTTGCTCTTCGCGACATCGGCGCTGTGACACTTGTGCTATGGATTCCATTTGTGTCAACAATGATAAAATTGTGCTTGAGGTTGTCCAGAAGAGAGCATGGGCATGGGTTCCTTCCCATCATGCCCAAGCTGGATGAATGGCCTTCCAGGCAAAGTTGAGATGTTGTGTCGAACGAAATAACTGCCATTATGTTGCCACACCACCCAGTGAGTCGGAAAATGCATGTGATTGCGGACAAAGCATTGGGGCCAAGTCAGGGTGTAGTGCCAGTACTCCTGACATCATATTGTGCACATGGCTCCATCCTTGCCACACAAGCATGGTTCCCTGAGACGTCGAGCTGCATAGTCTTGGATGAGAAGGTGTGATAACTTCTCTTTATGCTAAGAGAATTGTTCCAGTATCATTTGCTTTGGCAGCACTTGTGTGGGCTTTGGAATTTCTGAGGACGTGGTATGCCCCATTGCCAAGAGTGTTGCAACATGCAGAAGTGGAGGCAGCGGACCTAGGTAGAAGGGGGACAGGTTGGGTGAATAGACTCTGCTATGCTGCCTTGTACGTGACCTGGCCATTCTGGATATACTGTGAAGTATTGGAGGTTGACACTGTGCTGTATGCAGCAATGGCAGCGGCAGCCCTCACTCTTCAACTGTTGTCTCGAATATTATGTGATGGGTCAGGGAGGAAGGGACAAGGGCTAGCTAGATCAACAGGAAGATGATAAATGTTTGGGGTACTGAGACAGCGATGGCAAAGCCCAGGTTCTGATACGAGCAACAGGATGTGGAATGGAACATGCATGTAGTCACAGCCAGATAGTGTGGCAAGATACAAATATAGGAATAAAAGAGGGGAGAGTTAAGATGATACAATGGGTAGGTGATACTTGTTATGCTAAGGTACGAGGTATGACAGGGGCACAGCCAAAATGAAGAAGAAATTGAGACGTGTAAAATGTGTAGCTGCCGTTTCAATTGTTTGATCTGTGCATCTCAACACTGCCCGGACAATGAAGTGAAAGAAGGCGAAGGAGTCACAGACCACAAACTGAAGAGTCGATGAAGGTGCAAAAGCTGTGGAAGTTGATTGGTGGGGTTCGAGCTTGCCAGACCCTGCGATACCTGCAGGAAGTCGACAACGAGAGGGTGCTGGCGGGTGCTGTCATAAGCTCGAGATGAAAGCTGAGTTCCGACAACTCCCATAACACCTCCTTCACTTTCAGTTCTGTGAGGTCCACATCTTCCACAGGGACACCTCTGAATATCGGGGAAGAGGAGAGAAGGGCGTCAAAGACTGGCAACAGAAGTATACATGCGTCCAGGTGTTCAATTGCCATCAAACGGTCTGCCACAGCCTTTGATATTGATGGGCACAGCCCAATGTGGCATAGCCCCTTCAAACCCATCCTAGGAGGTTATACTTCCCTCCTACTCCTGCTTTGAACAAGACCATATAGCTCAGTGGTTAGAGCATCCCTCATGTGTAGAGGAGGTCTCTGTGGTCACTCTTTAAATGCCATCACACTCATGCTCCCCAAGGACGACAATTGCTGCAGAGCATGATGACACCATCATCTCCTCTGTTCAACGCTTATCTGTGGCCTTGCCCATGAAGATGGTTGGTGATCTTGGTACTATTTCCTTGAGAACCAGCGAGTCTTGGGGTACGAGTAGAGTTGCCACTGAATCGATACGAACAGTCGGGAGTTTAGAAGGAGGGCGGATGAACCAAACAGGAATCCCCACCCAGTAAAATGTTTGGACAACAAGGGGATCAAATGTGAAGGCACCTAGGACTTTTTCAATTTGACGGGAAGGAGGCTTGAGGCTGTCAGGCATGTAAAGTTGATGAGATTTGAAAGTGTGATGACAGACGATATGATGGTCGATGAAGTTCCCATTCAGCCATGTGCGAATGTTTGAATGGTCGATAGTCGAGGTGCTTCATGCGTCCATGGTGCTCTGGGTTCTTGCTGACTGTCACAGCGCTGGCGTTGTCGGCGAGTGGGAGTGGTGATGGGGTAGCCAAGCTCCCCCATCAACAGCCTGAATATACTCCGCTTCACATGTGGAGAGCGCAACAACAGGCTGGAGCTTGGTGCCCTGAAGGAAGCGGAACAGGTGCTTCACACCAGCCCAGTGCTTGAGGCCTGGGTTCGAGTTGAACCGGGTAAGGTAGCTGACGGCGTGGGCGATGTCTGGACGAGTCATAGTGGCGAGGTACTGCAGGGAACCGACGGCAGCGAGATAGGGAACGTTGCGCATCTCCTCGACTTCAGCCTGGGGCGAAAACCTCGGTGAAGTCGATGCCAGGACGCTGGGAGTAGCCTTTGGCGACGAGACGCTTGTAGCGCTCAATGGTGCCATCGGGGTTGAACTTGATCTTGAATACCCATCCACAGGGCAAGGCCTTGACTCCTGGAGGCAAATCCGTTGTAGTCCAAGTGCCGTTGGCTAGCAGCGTCTGTATCTCCTCGATGGCTGCTTTCCGCCACTTGTCTGCGTTGGGACCGCTCATAGCATGCACCCAATTGCGCGGATCGCCTGAGACAAGACCTGCAAACTCGATTGTGACCCATCCAGCAGCCTCGTCTTCATCATCCTCTTCGTCGTCGCTCGGAATGGCCGGTGTGGGCTCTCTGACCTTCCACCACTCGCCTGGGGGACGTCGGATGCGTGGTGCACGACGCTGAGCGAGGGGAGGCGTAGGAGGCGGCGGAGTTGGTTCAGGGAGTGGCGCCTGAGGTGGAGGCGGCGTTTGAGGAGGGGTCTCTGGTTCAGGAGAAGCAGGCACAGGTGCAGGCGCAGGCGCAGGGACAGCAGGGGCCACTGGTGGAGCGTCACACTCCCCCAGTTCCTCATCACCGAGGGGGAGAGGAACTCGCACCACAGGCGGAGGTGAGGGAGGAACAGCAGGCGGTACAACAGTGGACGTCGATGGGGAGGCTCTGGACAGG